CATGTTCTTGAAAAGTGATACTTTCTTGGGGACCATTGATAATAAGAAGTTCTGATTTGAGTGGATTGACAGTAATGTTGTTTAGATAATAAAAGGATGCACTGACTTCCATTATTGTTTTTGGCTGTTCTTTGTTTTGTACTATAAAGATGATATCATTCATGTATACTGCCACTAAGATATTTAGTTTGGTTGAGCTACAGTTATTGAGTATAGGCTTGTGACATGTCAGTTATTAGCCTTTTAAGGTATTTATTTCTGTAATGAGAGGGTCATAATAGATTCACCAGAGGAGTAATGAGATTGTGTTCACTTGGTCAATGCCTTTTTTTACTTTATAGGGATCTGTTTGACTGAAGTATGTTATAACTTTGTTGGATCTGTTTGAGAAACAGCTGTTGATAATATTGATTATTTTATGTAGTATTTGATTCTATGGAATGCTATTGTAAGGTGATCTATATTGACAGTGTTATATGCCTTGCTCATATCTTGAAAGAGCATCAGGCAATACTTATTCTGTTCCCTTGCATCTTCAAGTACTTGATTTATTATAGTGATTGATTCACGTGTGTTGTCTCCTGGTAGAGCTGCCCAGTTGTTTTCTAAGAGAATTGTATTTTCAATTATGATCTTTGTTAGTCTGTTGTTAATAAGTTTGGCAAAGATTTTCTTGATGGATTCAAGCAGGGTGATAGGCTGGGTAATATTGATATTGTGTTGCCAGTCCTTCGGTTTGGGTATATGATATATTGTTCCTTCCTTCCATTCTTTGAAGAGTTTTTCATATGTAAAAATGTTGTTGAAAAAGATGGTTATAGAGTCTGGGGCTTCTTTACTGAGGTGTTTGTAAACTAGGTATGGGATTTGAGAAGGTCCAGATACTGACTTGTTACTGAATTTTTTGATTATTTGTTTTATTTCTTCAGCAGTAAATAGGTGTAAATCGGGATTGTACCACTATTCTTTGATATAAGATTGATTGGTATGCTTGTTGCCATACTGTACTATTTTGTTTCAGGATGTGTTTTCTTTTTGTCCAGTTACTGAAATAAGAGTGGACTGTTTCTTTTATTTCTTAGAGGTTGTAGATAAAAATCTTTTTGTTGTCTTCATGTTTGATTAATTTGGTTGTAAAGATACTTTATTTTGGGTTATCAAGTAGAGTCTGATTAGTTTTTTCTTGTCTAAGTTATACCAGTTGTTTTAGTTTTTGAGGGTTTGATTGATTTTCTCTCTGGTTTTGATATTTATATCTTTTTTATTAGTAGTTTTCTCCAATGTTATTAGTTTGTCAATTTCTTCAAGATTGCAATGGTATTTGGCTATGGTGACTATTGGTCAATGGAAATCTTCTCGGAGATAGCTTGGTAGAGATTTTTCAGCTATTTGAAATCTGCTTTGTGGTCATGTTTGCTATACAGCTTGATCTGTTTTTTGTACTGTGTCAGTTGTATGAGAAGTAGTGGTCTAGGTGGGTTAAAGTTTTTGGGTCTGTTTTTCTATTTTTCCTTGTATTTATGAATGTGTTTTTAGGCTGAGCTCAATATAGCTTGTCTAAAATAGTTTCATACTTTGTCAACATTTTTTGAATCTTGTGTAAGTATTTCATTAAGTGTGGGTACGTATATGTCAAGATTTGCTGTAAATGCTTTTTATTGTTTATCTGGTATCTATTCCCAGAGAAAGTGGGTTTTATTGTTATGATGTCTATTTTATTTGACCTTTGTATCTAATTGTTATAATTCGATATATGTTATTTGGATACTGTGGTCATTGGTTATATTTGTGTTTTCAATAATAAATAAGTCTATGGTGCACCATGTGGGACAAGTGTTTGTCTATATTATATTGATTCTACTTAAGGAAGATATTGAATGCCAAGTATATTCTTTTAATTGAGAATTGTAATATCTGAATGTGTCAATCATTCCTAGTTCTTGAAGTTGTTTGCAAAAGCTGTTTGTTTTGTCTCTATATGTTTTCCTGTTTATGCTGATTTTGTTCATTTTCTGTGATGGGCTAATGTTAAAGTTTCCACTGATTATTATGTATCAGTTCAGGCTGTTATACTGTTTGATTCATTTTATGATTTGTTTTTGTACTTCTGTTTTGAGCTTTCCAGCTCTGATAGGAGAGTATACACCAATGATTCTGCAGTAAAGTTTGTTGGAAATTATAATGTCTATGCATATAACTTGATCCAGGAAGTGTTGTATTTCAATTATATAGTTAGAAAGAAGTTTCTTGATTGCGATATCCACACTAGCACCAATATTATAGTCTCCTTCCCATCATGTTGAGTAGTCTTCTATTTTCCAGTATTGTGTATTGATTTTAGTTCCATTGGTCTCTATTGATATTATTATGTTTCAATTATTCATGTGCCATGTGTTGAACCAAGATTCTCTTTTGAGAGGATCATTTAGGTCTCTACAATTTAGGGTGGCCACTATCCAGTAGAGTTTCATATGGTTATGTTTAGCATTGGTTAGATTATCTTGTGATATGTTTTTGGGATATTGTGGAGTGTTTGAATAGTTATGTATTTTTTGAAGTTGTTACTAAGGAGTGGGGTGTTTTAGTAGTAGTATTTTGAGTTGCTTTATTCAAGATACTTGCATTTGTGTTCGTGAGATCAGGAATAATGATATTGTTTAAGGTGTTGTTATTGTTCTTTGATATATTATTACTTGGAGAGTTATCATTTTCTTGTTTAGTAATGTATAGAGGGAAGTTGTTTTGTATTGCTTGAGAGAATGTTCATGATGGTTGATACTAGTGCATTCATAGCTCTGTTTATATTTCTTATTGATTAGTGAAGTTGTTATTGTTGCTATTGGATATCTTGTATATTTGAAGGTTCGACTGCTAGTGTTTAAATGCTAGTGTTGATGTATATGTTTTCCTCTTCCATGTCTTCTGAGTCTGTATAACAGTATTGTTCGAGATTATTAATTCTTTCATCAAGGTTTTCCAACAATTCTTTAATGGAAGAAAGTTCTTTGCAAATTGTATTGAAGGCTGTGTGAATGTCATCTGTTGTATCTGGATTGTATTTATTTTCTGAGATATTGTGAGAGCTTCTGGTGACTGCAGCGTATAATCCTGGTTTGGAGGGTTTAGTTTCTTGAAGATTGTATTAGTCTACAGATATGTATGAATTTGGCTGGCTTAAATCAATTGTATAGTTTTCCAAATTTTTGGACTTGTTTGTAATTGTACTAATTCCACTGTTGCCTGCATTCTTTGATTGTGTAGCTGGCTACAAGGTGATTGAAACCGTCAAATATGGTGTAAAGCTTCGTGTCAATGGGTTTGCATGTCAGGATAGTTTCTCCATGACAGAAAGTCTCATTTAGTACTTGTTGGAGGTGTTGTTCACTGTTGAAACTGAGGACTGCATATTTCCTTGGTTTGTATGACATTAAGTGGAATATGTAGCAGGTTTTGGCTTATAACTTTAGGCAGATATGCTTGAGGTTAAATGCACAGGTCCCTGGTGAGAAGTTGGTTAATTTCACTAACAGGGTTTTTCTGTTCTTTATTTCTAGTAGGTCTCAGATTGTATTGAAAATCCTTATTGGGTCTACCTTGATGAGAGTGCTCCAGGATTCTAGCGCTTTGCGTTTATCTTCCTGGTTAGAGAATGTGATCATGGCTGACTGCTATATTTGTTATATTGGTATTTTGATATTGATTATCTATCTGAACTTGGTGAATGTTTGTTATATATCAATGAACTTTATATTCAAGGATATGTCCCATACCTTGATGCTCATTTCCTTATTTAGTCTACTGATTATTTTGGGAAATGGTGTGAGTTTGGTGTTGCTTGTTTCAGTAAGGCTTATGTAGCCAACTATTTTTGCAGAGTGATGGTCTCTGAAAATGGTAATAATATAATTGATCTCCTCTATTCATTTGCTTTGGATTGTAAGTAGTCTTTCAGGAGAGTTGAGTGCCTTGATGAGGAAGGTGATTTTTTTTTCTATAGAGTCTCCTGATAGTAAGAAATGGTGAGTGGATTCTCAGTCTGCTCCCTTGTCTTTGTTCTTTTTTCACTTGTTTTTCCTGGATTTGCCAGTCTTGTTTTTCTTGAAAAGAATTGTTGTTATCAAAGTCCATTTTGATATCTGAGTCGTCAATTCTTACTGATCTGAGATTGTTAGTTGCCATTTCTTTACCCTTTGCTGTAGAATTTTTGCCAGTTTTGCAATATGTTTCACCTGTGTTATAATGTGCCTTGTTTTGCATGTTTTGCTCCTCTTCCACCTGTTTGCTCCAGATATATTGAGTTCTTGCCATGCTAGTGTCTTCTGTTGATCTGATAGTTGTATCATTGTCTTGGTCTATTGTTTGTATGGTGCTAAGGGTAGAGGGATGGTTTGTTTTTGCGAAGCTATTTGTTTAATACTGGATTTCTTTTCAAGTTTTTTGCATATTTCTTTGCTAATAGGGCTGGCCTTGCCTTTAGTGAGCTTGTGATATTGTAGTTGAGCCTGCTGGGTAGGTATTGTTGTCTTTTAGGTCTTTCCATTTTTCAACTGTTTTTTGTGTTTTTGTGGTTTATGCTACTACAACATAGGAAAACAGGAAAGAGTTGTGATTTCTTTCATTGTTTTTGTATATATTATTATAGTGAATATATCTTTCTGTACAGTGTACCTTTTGAACATGTATTTTTTTTTTTGAGTCTTGATTATTTCTATGGCTTTCTTTTATATTTGAATGCATAGACATCTATTTGTCTATATATTATAAATGATGAATCTAATTCTATAAATGATGTTATGGATGACTTCTGCTATTTTGTCTAATAAGATGAACTGACTAATTGTCTGAATTACTTTTCTGCTAATTAGTGTTCACAATTTTGATCTGAATTCAATTAATCCATGAATCAGATACAAATTAGATCGAATCAAATTTCAAAATTTTTAATCCAATTGGATTCAGATTAAATCAAATTTTAAATTTATAAAATTATCAGATTCAAATCAGATTCAGATCAAATTTGACCAGATTTAAATCAGATTTAGATCAAACACAATATAATTCAAATGAGATATGCATTAGTGTACATAAATTATTATATATTTATTTAATTTCATTTAATCAAACTATCTAGAAAATTAAAATCAAACTATTTAGGAAATTAAAATAGTTTTTTTTTAAAAAATAATATAAAAGGCAAGTTTAAATGAATTCAATACTTGCTCTTCTTAATGATTTTTTAATTATTTCTTTGTGATATTATAGTTTTGCTACTTAATTATTTTTATTATATCCTTTGCTTTTTTAATTTATTTCTTTTAAAAATAGAATATGAAAACTCATTTGATAGTATACAATTTGCATATTAAAAAAATAGTAATTTAACTAGTCATAACAATATCAATATTGAAAATGCTAATACAAGCAATTCATCAGAATTGTAACAAGTTTGCCTAAGTCACCCAATGAAAGCATGACTTTACACCTGAATGTCAGATGACAACTACTAAAATAGTCTTAGAAAATTATGGGTATTTGGATGAGACGAACATCATTTCTTAAAGGCCGGAAAGATGTTGTCAAATAGGATTTCAAGATAGTCAAGGATTTAGACCTCCAGCTGTGAAACACTAATGATTTGCTAGAACACATGATATTTCAGATCACATGACCTGAC